GTTACCTATCTTGAACTGTCTCCGTTCATTTGCTATATGAGTTTCCCTGTGTCAACCATATCTACTATCTGATATTCTACGCGCTATATGGCCACGTCCGAATTGCGACTTCGTATTTTTCCTTTCTCTCATTGGTAACAAAATCCGAATATGGAAGGGATGAAAAAGTCTGAAAAATACTCAGTAAAACTTAATCTTGTTTTCTTTCAAAGGAAATTTCTGGAGAGTTTTTGTGGGTTGTTTAAAGGAATAAATTTATTTTATTGCTTGAAGGAAAGAATCGGAATTGTTGAAAATTACAACTTCCTCGGAAAAAGATTCGTTTTAAAAGACATTATGGCTGTTTTATTATTTGAAATTCAACATATACATATTTTCAACAACCATCTCCTTCAAGACAGCTAAAAGTTAATTATTCGTTACGCATGTATACTAGCTATAGGGAATGTTATAAGTTCTTGCCTCATAGGAATGCAAGATAGTGTTTTAAATAAATTGCATAATATAACATTTTGAAAACAGTTGTTTTTATTTGCGAAAGGGCTTAGGAAACTTATCATGTTTCATTGAATCATTCCTGTATACTTTTTATATTTTTACTAAACTTGTTTGCTCCAATTACTTAAAATACCTAATTCAACACTTTTTCCTATAACACATATTCTTAATTTTTATTAATGAGCATGATCTGTAAGGATAGCAGCCATCGTTACAGATGTTGAATCATAATTTAATAGGACATAAAAACATTCAAACTTTGCTTCACTCCATCTGCCACATCTGCTAAAAGAAGATAAATTAAAACATGACGTTTTCCTAAGCGTTGTCGACACATATTCATATCCATCTTCCGATGAATACGAATGAAACCCTGCAGAAACTTCTAAACTCTTATTTCTTACCCGTGCATAGTATATATGATGATTTCCGTATTAAAAAAGTGAATCGCGTGCAGTATTTCCAAGCCTCTATTCATGCATCAAGTCCTGTCGAATTTATTTCAGTGTCAACACCGGGATATTTAAGAGCTGTTTGCAAGCGTGCCTGAAAAAAATGGTATTATAATTGTAGCAGTTTTCCATCGACACAGAAACTGGAACGATGAAACTCTCAAAATGCAAAGTGTGTATATTCTCTTCTAAAAATTATGTTTGTGAGATTTTATTGTTAGTATCTGAAGTTTACTTGTAGCTTTAAAATTCTCTATTGTCTTCACTATTTCCATCATTTTAATAATTAATCGAGGCCCACACAGAGAACCATATAATACTACGTGGGAACAAATGTAACTTGAATTTAAGTTCAATATTAATAATTTCCTGCTGAGCGAATCGTGGTCGGATGCTTGTTTTTTCTAATCAATAATTGCTGAAAATGATCAACCACAGGTAATTACAGTTTCGAAAATTGTTGAGAACCTCGACTTTTTTTAAACAGTAAAGCGTTTTCTCCGTGATTCCTATACTGCACCATAATATTGGTAAAGTCCTCCTTAATTTATTGGTATATCATATAGAATTTGTACATTCTGTTCACTTTATTGAATAGAAGAAATAAAATAAATTCTTAGTAATTATTTATTTATCATTGCATCAGCTACTAAAAAGAGGTAATACTTTTCAATGCAAGTAATTAAAAACAAATCATTCGCGAAACACAGGAACGAGTGAAACACATCCTTCGCGATATAATTTACGTAATTCACAACAGCCGATTGGCAGGATTTAAACTGAACGTGATTCCATGACGTAATCACAGAGCTTACGATGAAGCACGTCATGACTTTGATCATCGTTCACTATAATGGCATTGATAGAGTTGCTAAGGCCTATCACAAGCGCATGCTAACGACCAACTTAGCGCTGTAGCGTCGCCCTCCCTTGAATTGTGGCCTCTGCTGAGATTAATGCGTCTCCTCCATCAGCGTCCCTCAGTTTAAGATCAATCCTTTGCAGGTCCCAGATATTCGTGATCGTTGATTCAATTAAAGCCGATAAATAAAAAATTATAATACATTTTTGCGATTGTTGATTTATTTAAAGCCTATACCCGTTAATAGACCATCGAAAATGCTTCACGCGATTGCTGTTTCATTTAAAGCTAATCACGCATACAAATTTCCTAAAATTAGTTTTCGATCTGTGATTAACTTAAAACCGATCTCTTATAGATCCCTTCATCAAAAATGCTTTCCACGATCATTGATTTATCCTTATCGTCATGAATTTTTTCGATTTTTTTGTTGAATTTTGTGCTAGATGATAAAATAAATTGATAGTTCATTGTAAATAAATAATTTGAAAGGATATCCTACGTATGAACTGCTGCAATTCCTATATTGCTGATAAGATGAGGAGTTGAATGCAAACTTTATCCAACTTTTTTTCTCTTTATACTTTATTCTATAAAGAGAAAAAAAAATCAAGAGAAAATCTATACATTTTATAAAATCTTTATTCTATAAAGAGAAAATCTATAAAATTGTTTGGATTTTTTAGATGCTTAATTTTGGCTTAGTCTGGTTCATACTCTAAAAATGTATCTGTTGATTAACGATTATTAGTCGCGTTCATGACAAAATAACATGCATTTATTTTTTCTATATATATATACTTTTTTATTATCTTTTATGTTCTCTTATCTTTAATAAGAGTGCTGCATAGCGATTTAATAGCCAACTGTTAATTAAAAAGGCATTTTGAATGTATGGACTTCATGTCTGGAAAACAAATCCTATTCCTACGTCACTCACTCTGCTTACATGCATCCATTATTCACAAAGATAAAGTCATCGCAACGCAAAACAATATCGTCTCAAATTCAGTCAAGAATCTTAGGTGTGTGCGAGAGTGCCTCTGTGTCCACTGGGATTCTTAGGGATCTTAGAACCTGTTCTTAAATACGCCACTTGTTCGGTTCTGGTGGTTGGCGGAGTCCTATTCCGGCACAGAGAAGGAGGAGCCTGGAATGCTGCGTCACTAGGCTTTTCCAGGACTTGGCTCCTTCGCTGAGACCTGGACACTCAGTTGGAGGTCGGACAACCCTGTTTCTTACCTACCACCTTGGTGCTTCTTATACTGCGGTTCCAATTCACGGTTAAATCTCATGATGGTTCTATAGAAGTAGCTTTAAAGTAGTGAGGGAAGGGGAATTTAGTTTAATACAAATACGTGATAATAATTCTGTATTGGTGACTTGAGGTATAGAATAATCACGGGTAAGCCATTGAGTCAAAATGGCGGAGACGAAGAGGCTGGCTCTCCTGGAGGGTCTGATGAAGGTGCGTAAGTTGTTTAAATTGAATTTTATGGTTAATTCTGTTATTAATGCTGAGAAAATTAACTGTGTCGTAATGACACAGTCCCGTTCTTTTTTTATGAATTCTTTGCTTTTTCATAGAAAAGAGATTCTTCGAAGATAGCCATCGAAATTCTTTGCATTTTGCATTTTTTATATTGTTTACTGCTGCATTTTTACAGCTATAAGCAATGTGCAAAATTATTTTAATTTGATTAAATTCTAGCCCAATGCAAATTAGTTCTTGAATTTTTTAATAATATTATTCCTGGAGATGAATGCTAAGAAATTGCGTTTATCAACAAAGCGAGTTCATTTAGCAAGGGCCGGTATAATTGAACTGTTTGGCAAAAGTCTTGCATGATCGTCTTGCTTTGTTGCTTGCTCACAATATATTAGTTTGGCTGAAGGCAAGCTGATAGAGACATCGCAGGATAATGACAGGACTGTCGGCAGACAATTGAAGAGTAGCGCGCTTTGCCCGAGTCGTAAATCATCGTCCAGACTTTTTAAGAGCGACAGTCGACATGTTTGCAACTGCATGCATAGGCTTGAGTCTGAACCTCTACTTCTAATGCACATTGCACACTTGCACATCCAAAATTGCCTATTTTTTCGAAGTGGCTGAGCGAATTTCAATCGAACCATTTTTTAACAACGCCCGTAAAAATTTTATATGCATTTCATAATTCTATTGCGATCATCTCCCAACTCTTGATTATGTCATTATTTCGCGCACATTTTTGCTTTTTATCGCAGTCTTCTTCAATATTTTAGTGTATATATCAATATTTTGTGTTTCTTTTAACTTTTCACTGATCGTCCAAGGGAAGATTGTAATCTTTTAAATATTTCAGAATGTGTGTAGAAGTCTGGCATCGTAAGATGGTTTATTTTAGAGCGTATCAGCAATACCTTGTATCAGGATATTATGCACTTGCATAGAAGTGGTAGAATTATGATTCGCACAGTCCTGTGTTTGTATTGGAATACGTTAGGTTTAATAGTGATGCTCTGAAATTGAAAATTGATTATACTGCAGATATATATCAGTGTTATTTTCGAGACCTTTAGTGAGACTCTTCAACTAACGTGCTTTTGCTTTAGAATCCTTATGATTGCTGCAATGATGATCAATGAATCTGAAAAGCAATTTATTTTTATCATTAATATCCAATAAAATTTTATGAATGAATTATCGAATCACAATCAATAATCAGGTGATAGATGTAATATCAAAAGTTTTCAATGGAGTGATTTACTTATGGATTGTTTAGGCTCCGGAGTTCATTTTTCCTTATAAATGCCTCGCTGTTTGCAGCTTCCGTATTAATATCTGTTTCACCGGCGTATATATAGAGAATATTGTTGTGAAGAATCAATGACCACCGTTTCCTTAGCATTAATTTTAAGTAAAGCCGTTCTTTTCTTTCATCCAACCGGTGCATGGTTAAATAACATACTTTTCTGCTTCGCTATTTTTTTTCAATGTGTTTAGGTCAGATATTTAATTACTTTTGTTTTTCCCTATGTTTTTTTTCAATGTGTTTAATTCAGATATTTAATTATTTCTATGTTTCGCTATGTTTTTTTTTCAATGTGCTTAAGTCAGATATTTAAGTACTTATATTTTTCGCAAGTATTGGTATGTTTGTTCATGTGTTTAATCTAGAAATTCAAGTGTGTTTGTTTTTTATTTGCAGGTGCAAATGGGTTACGGCGACGCGGACGCCAGACGTATACTCGATATCAGACTCTGGAGCTTGAGAAGGAGTTCCATACGAATCACTACTTGACACGGAGGAGAAGAATAGAAATGGCCCACGCTCTTTGTCTCACCGAGCGACAGATCAAAATATGGTTCCAGAACAGGCGGATGAAACTCAAGAAAGAAATACAAGCAATCAAAGAATTGAATGAACAAGAAAAGGTAGCTCAAAGTCAGAAAATGATGCAACAGCAGCAACAGCAACCGCAACAGCCACCCGCTCCCCAACAGACACAACAGACACCCACCGTCCCACCCAACATGACTCCCAGTCAAACGGGCGGAGGAGTCCCGGATCATACGGGACAAAATCCTGTGCAAAACTAACCTCTTCAGCTCATCTCTAAGTTAGGATTAAGGTAAGATTATTTATTCAGTTAATTTGAATTATTTTCATCGAATCGGTACTTGAACTTCCTGACATTCTATTATTCGATTGGATTTTCCATTAGCTTCTCATTAATCAGTGGAAGGTAAGCCATACATAATTTTTTCTGCTGCACGTTTTTTTGACATTAATCTCACTTCAAAGAATATTAACTTAATAATAATAGCTATAATAACGCGCGTAATAACTCTTTCAACTGGATCGACCGAACATTACTTGACAGAGAGGAGCATTAGAAATGTGAACTTAGCTTAATTTGAATGGGGCTTTGCGAATAAAATGTTAGCATCATTAAAGTCATTCCTACCATTTATAAAGTAATTGCATTGTTTACTATATGCGTTCACTTGAACTTGATATTCTAAATATGATATTTATATGTGATATGGTACACCATATGATGAGCACTGAATTGAGAAAAAGAATAGTGCTCTATCATAGACGTATATATATATAAAAACAATTTGAACGCAAAATAACAGATTATTTTACTGTATTTTTTTCCTTACTATGAGTGGCCTAGGAAAATCATGATTTTTCAATCAATCACATTTATTGTCAAATTGACCACCAGAAAGACATTAATTATGGCGTACTTCTGCGCCTTTCTATCAATATTAGTAACTTTGAAATAAATTAATTAGTTCGATATTTAAACTACCGTAATTCAATATTAATAACTTATTCCTAATACGTGGCTCTAACTATGTCTTTTAAAAATTCACAGCTTGTCAAAACCTATTCACGAAATTTTTTTTTTTTTGCTCGTAAAAAACATTTCAAGTTTACCAAAACAAATTACCTACCTACACTAGATCAGTTTACTTAATCTCTATGCTATACATTTTGAATCAGGAATTTCTCATTGCATTTGATAAATTGTTAAAAGTTAGTGCTTGTAAAAGAGTGCTATGATTTACGCGTATGAAAAGTGTTCCGTTGACAGACAATTTATACAGCACTCCTAAAACACAATATATTCCCTGATCTGAATGCGTCTTACATCTGACTTCACCCCAATGCAGTCAGAAGATAAAAAATCTTGCGTCGGGATCTTTGATCAGCATAATGGGATCTTGTGGAGTTCAGTGAAGAACGCACATCTTTGCCCCTAAGAGAACATTTTAATATTAAAAATGTGGAGAGTAGGGCCATAAATCTCCGACGCGAGGCGTTTTTGTTGGGGTGCAGCGCAAGAAAATAGATGAGAAGACAAGATGGATGCTCGCCTGATGTATAGCAGAGGGAGAGCGAGGGAGAAGCTCTCACCTTCCACAGATGAGAGGCTTTTCTAGGCGACGCCACTTTGTTTTTTGAAAGGGACTCTTTAAAGAGAAAAACAAAAGGGGCCCGGCATTTAGATGCCACAGAAATTTCATGCATGCTGTCGTTGCGAGAGAATCTATAACATACTATTAGGTATTTTCGACTTTTTTAAGACGCTGAAAAATATTTTTTGAGTGGTGAAGTTCAGAAGTTATCTAATAGCTCCAGTTTTGAGCCTAAACTTATTCTCGATGAGAATAAATGTTTGGAGAGTTGATTTATAACAGTTAACATTCAGATTTCTTGAAACTTTGTGTAACGATCTACCTTCATGGGTCCATTCTCATACATAAAAATCGTATCTAATGGCTGTGAGATTCGTACTTCCACTCACAATTATAATTTTCTGAATTATCGTGGCGTCATTCAATAATTGTATTTTTCATAATTGTATGACCCGTTTACAAAAGTGATGCCAGCATATTGTATTATATAGTCTTTTTAAACAAAATATACATTATACAAAATATATTTTAATTTGTCTGGTCGACTCATACAGTCATGTTTGAACATGTTGGCAATTTTCTATCAGTTCGCGTGCTATAATTTTGAAGACGTGGACTTGCAACGGAAACTCGTTGATAATAAAGTGCTTAATATCTTTTAAACGAGCCGCGGGTGCGTCTAGACCGTTGTTAATTGTTCCTTCTGTCAAACAATGAGGAACTCAGTTGCTGTTTTACGACCAAGATTGACAAGGATCCTAGAGATAGGTTATCGAGCACTCAGAAGTCTCTCATTTCGCTGAGAGAAAATTGCGTGATGAATCTATCATATGTCTATTATTTGTGGCCAGGCCTTATACCGCCGTAGGCAGCACTTGCTCAGGATAGTCGATCGCATGCTCCAAGCTTTTCTTTTTCTTCTGTTCTGACGGACTGTAAAATTTTCAACTGCAAACGATGCAGATTTTTATAAATACATATTGGGTCAAAGGAAATTAAACAAAATTTAATGAGAAAAATTATTTTTAATATAAAAATTATTCCCTTATGAGACGCTTTGTTTATTTTAATTTTCGTTATCTTCTGTAAGTTCTCACACACATTCTCCTGCTAAATATTAAGACTTTAAATGCTTTTTGGATGATATTTGGTTCTGCTGGACAACTCTGGGTATACGCGGATTGGTCAAATAACAATTAATTGTCTCATATTCCAATCATGATCCTCATGGACACATATTTTTCACAATTTAGCAACAAATCCAAGCTAACATTTTGATCGCCACTAAAATTTTAGAGCAAAATTTCGTACGCGAGTGTGTTTTTGGTTAGAGTCGATGACGTTTGGAACAGAAATGTCCAATGACCGCAAATCTGAGAATAATAAATGTTTCGCTTGCACCGCAGTCTCAATAATTATTGGGGGAGTGAGTGATTCACTTGCTGAAGATAATTACTCAGAGGCTGCATGGGAAGTTGGTTACCAGGGCCGTCGCCACGGAGGGCGGCTCGCTGTTGCCACGACGGGGCGGTTCAGCGGTCGGGCTCTTTATCTTCAGCAATCAATACCAACACAAGTCCGCCCATCACCGTTCTTTTGGAATTTTTGTTGTCATCAGTTCATTACACTGAAATAATTGGGAACTTTGGGTTTTGGTATGTGAGTATTATATATTTTACTGCAACCTGACACTTGAGCACTTTGCTTGGAAAAGAAATTTAAGTTAATTTTCTATTTCGTGTTAAATCCCCCCTCCATCCCTCACTTCCATCCGAAAAGGTTCGCTCAGCAGACTCCAGTTCAGCTGGCAGACGCTGGAACGTCTCCTCTCCCCCACCAAACATTTCCCTCCCCCACTTCTGCCCCTCTCCCCCACGGTTCTGGACACCTCACCTTCCTGAAATTTCAAGCACCGACCCCAGGCGACGTACACCCCCCGGTTCCCGTTCTCTTGGTCGCGTTTGTAATCTTAAAAAACGGGAAGGGCGCGTGGAATTCTCGACTTGATAGAATTACTCAATTTCTGTGATTTTTACTTCAGAACGAATAACCATTTTTTTTTGTCACTCAAATGTATTCCCGCCGCTCAGAGATAGCCAGCAACTTTACTGCGTATTTTAACGCAAGCCTTGGCTTTCATGGCACCGATGGTCGAGATACGACTCACTGTTGATGTTGAAACACATTCTCATCTCAAGCTTCATTAAAAGACTGTACAACTTCCTCCATGCACAAGCGCTAACACCATTACCCTCATTAAAATTTCTCCTGTCAATACGCCGCTGTTTTCCTCCATCAGTAAAAAGGAAGCCAGCTCAGCTAGCTACGAGGGCTCTTTGATATTCGATCAGCAGTGGATGTTTTGCAACAGGTTTAGTTCTTTGAGTGACATGCCTTCAGTTTGTTTACAAGGAATGGCGCCAGCCGGCGTCTAAAAACACGCCTCTGAGACTGGCTCTCAGTTCCTGGTCAACGTGAGACTAACGTTATGTATCAACAGATGAACGCATGTCAACGTAGCGCGAGTGATTATTTAAGCATTATTCGGATCTCTTTGTATCGAGGAGAACTTATCTAAAAACTTAACTTGACAGAAAAAAAAAGATATTCATGGCGATCAGAGTTTTAAGGAGGAAAAATGCACACTAGTTTTATTCGATATTATCCCAACTCGTCGGAACATTCATCCCTAACGTCTGACTCCCGCAATGAACCTCATCATGTATGTTTGCAAATAACGCGATGTACTGATGGTGATCCCAGCCCGCTGCTAATCCATCGTGGCTGACATCTGACGAGCATATTATCGAAGCCGCCTGCTTGTTCTTCCTCTAAAGCAACAATCTTTCCGAATGCACCACACACATACGTACAAGAGTGGCTTTGTTTTTGCTGTTCATACAGTCACCCCTGGTGAAAAGTTCTCTCACTGGAACACACGGCATATTCGCGGTTAAAAAACGTTTGCGTTGAGCGCGGAGGAATACCACGCCGAGGGAGGAGCTTGGCATGTCCTTCCTGGCTTGCCTGCGCGGTCTGCTCGTGCTGCTGCTGCTGCTGCTGCTAGACGTGCTGCTGCTGCTTGAGGTGATGCTGCTGCTAGAGGTGATGCTGCTGCTAGCCGTGCTGCAGCTAGCCGTGCTGCTGCTAGCCGTGCTGCTGCTAGCCGTGCTGCTGCTAGCCGTGCTGCTGCTAGCCGTGCTGCTGCTAGCCGTGCTGCTGCTAGCCGTGCTGCTGCTAGCCATGATGCTGCTGCGGGTCGTGCTGCTGCTGCTAGACGTGCTGCTGCTGGTCGTGCTGCAGCTAGTCATGATGCTGCTGCTGCTGTCCATGCGTGTTGTTGAACATCACATGTTGCCGGGAAACTGTGAGCCTCAAAGTTGCTAAGCAACCATCATTTCTATCCATCTTATGATTTCTGAAAGTTTTATTTCCGTTAGATCAAAATGGAAACCATTTTTGACTAATCATGCAATATAAAGAAACCATAATTTTTAAATAGAATTCTAGTATTATGTTCTCCGATGATTTTAAAATATGCAAATATTTTCGTAGGAGTGTAAAATTCTATATCAAGTATGTTGCTGAAACTAATAGGCCTAATATAAAATTTTGAAGATGAAGTTTATGAGCGAATGAGATTATTATGATTTTTTACCGCTGGCGAGCTCATGTTTGGACAAATTAATAATCTCCTGAT